ATCACCCATATATATATATATATATATATATATATTTAGTTGCATCATGAAAGATTTTTTAGGCATAATTTGAAGTAACAGTTATATATTCAGTTGATAGAGAATAGTTAAAAAAAATTTTAAAAATTCCGAAGTAAGAAAGTTTTTTTCCCTTCTCTATCTATTTTCCACGAAAATCATATGAAAACATATTATACCTAAATATTATAAAACGTAATTGCAATATATATTTGTTTCTTTTTTTTATTCAATGATTTTGTGTATTTTTTAGATGAAAAATCGTTTTTAGTGACAAGACGCAGTTTTAAAATTTTCAGTAGTACACACTTCAAAAAGGAAAAAAATAATCCGAAATGCTGGTTAAATTACTTTGAACGTTTGTTAATTCAAATAATAATTTCAAAGCGTCTCTATCACACAATTGCGGTTTGGATTTTTCGTTTGATATTAACTAGTTATTTCTCTTTAAAGAATTTTATATTTTTCTAATTTTAAGTTTTTATAAGAAAATTTTTAAATTTTTTTTTAAATGTTAAATGCAAAATTTCAAAGCTTGTAACAAGTTTGACTTTCAAGACTTTTTTCAGATAGATTTTTTCTTGTCTTTCAAGCAGTCATTAGTTTCCCCCCTTCTTACAACAAGCTTACTAAATACTTTGAATGTATCTAGTATGATTTTTTTAATTAAAATTAGAGCGGTTTTCTTAATTATGAGAGATACAAATATGATTTTATCAATTAATAGTGCTACTTAAAATTAGCAGAACTTACAACAACATAACCTTTAATGAGTAATTTTTAAATCATGAAGAATTTATTTAAACACAAAAAAATATAGATACTAATCAATCTACCATTTAAAAAAATTCTTTTAAATTACAATTCTATCCTATTTTCCAATATAATAAGAAGATTAAATTTTTAATTAAATGTCTAAAAATAAATCTCACCTCTTAATTTGTATCAAAACATTATTCAAGGAACGTATTAAATATTGAAACAATCTATGGTTTGATAGACTATTTGGACTATGCAACCCTTTATCTCAATCAAATCTGCATAAACCAGTCTTATCTTTTTTTCAGACAATTTGAATATCATTTAAATAAATACTACCTTATGTATCCGCTGAAGGCCAACATAATTTTTTTTTAAATTAGTAGACGCTTGATTTGCGCATTTTACTTTTTCCAGTATGTAAATTTTTGTTTTAATGGTTTGTTTTAATGGTGTTTTAATGGTTAATGCAAGCTTAATTAGCTTTTTTTGTTTCATTAATTTTTTTAGAAAATATGTAATTATGTTCTTTATATTTTCTTTATAATTTCTCAGTAAATTTAATATTTTTGGTACATATTTTGTATATTACATATATATTATATCGATTTGTTCACACCACATCTTATATTATTAGAGTCGTCAAATTCCTTGGTATCAAAATGTTTGGACACATTGTTTCACACGTGACACTTCGAACACTGCAAAAAAAGTGACTTTTGCAAGTGCGCAAAAAGAGAGAACATCTCGCAAAAGATAGATAGATTTTCAATGATTTTAACAACCTTGATTTATGAAAAATTTAAACTATATAGAACAATACAACAGCTCGATAGTAAATATCGGCACTGGCAAAAATTTAAATAAGGGTTGCTTTCCTTAATTATATGAACATTAATTAATATCCCACTGCTAGCCATTAAAAATTTCTAAGCCAGAAAGGAAGACAAATAGCAGCATGGTATTTATAATTAATGAAATTGTATTGGAAAAAGTAAAGAGCTAGTGATTAAAATTACAAGAAATTAGGTCGTATAGATCAGTGTTCCCCAACCCACGTCCGCGGACCGGTACCAGTCAGTGGATCAAATGATACCGGGCCGCCCATTTTATTGAAACTGAATTTAAATTCCTAGTTTTATACTCCAAATTAAAAGTATCTGTGTTCCATTAAAATTTTATTTATTTAAAAAAAGGGGCCCCCGAAGGTAGTGACATAATTTTTTTAATGTTTGTAATGCATCTTTGTCTTCGATTAGCCCCAGATGGAACCGTCTCATTGCAAAGAAACAAGCTCAGGGTTCTCATTGATGTAATGTTCAAGTAAGTTAAAATGTTAAATCACTTCACATTTATTTTTTTGTGCAACTGTATTTTATTTTGAGGGCATGTTTAAATATAATTAAATTAAAATTAATAAATCAAAATAATCTAAAATATAAACAATCAACGCCCCTCCCCCCAGCGGGTCGCTGTAAAATTTTCGAACGTTGACTGGTCCGCGGTAATAAAAAGGTTGGGGAACACTGATATAGATCATGAGGAATCAGTAACGAAAGGTCCTACCTCTGGAGAAAAAAAACATATTTTATCCACCTAGATATGAAGTTACACAGAGATTGTATTACATTTTTGGGGATCTCTATCTATACTGTTGCAAATCTATGTCACAGTTCATTAATAGTTAGTGAGTGATGTGAGACTCAGTCACCAAAACTGCCCTAACCAAACATCGTCACACATAAATTGCGTGATTTTCAATTGCCTTGATTTCTGAAGAAATTTTGAATTTGAAGACGGGGAGAAACTTTTCACGCTCATATCTAGATCAGAGTTGGCGAACCTACGGCATGCTTGCCACTAGGTGACTGGTGTTTCAAAGTCTCGCGAGAAAAGCACATATCAATATCTGGTAATAGGTTAAACTGTATAAATTGATTACTCTCAATGAATTAATTACTGTAAAATTGAACAATAACCTTAGAGAAGCCTCGAAGCTTAGACAGGCCCACGAGTCATAACACGTCTCAAATGTGAAGATTTGCGTACAAAATGCCAGGCATGAAAACAAGAGGGGATCGACTTACATAACCAATGGAGCTAATAAAATCACTGACGAACTAATATGCAAAGTCGAATGTAAGCTGACAATGTTCATTTTCCAAAGAGGCGTCTGCCACACGCGTATTTGATGCTCAATGCTCTATATTCAGACACAACTTTGATCAATCACTGCATGCCCCCATTCAAGTGTTCAAGTTGGTCACTGATCAAACTGAAAGAACTCCTATCTATGATTAACGTCAAAGGTAGCACAAGACAAAGTTGCTACTCTGGAGGTCCATATCCGTGCATACGTGGTCGAAATGTTGTCGAAAATCTCCATACTCATGGATGTGTGACCCTTCATGACCATGCAGATAAGATCTTCCTGACTGTTGGTATTGGGGGTCCATTGAAATCAAACGCAACAAACCATATGACAGTTGTGAACCCATCGATTTCTTAAATTAAAGTATTTCCATCACCGTCAGCAGCAATGGTGCAGTATAATAAACTGCAACCCCGTTTGAAAAACAGCTGGGGAACATTTTTTTCTTACTTTGTTTTCTATAGCAGGTGAGTTTTGGACGGATATTTTCTATTTTTGCAGCACTTATTTCGGTTTCTCTCTCCAAGCTACAGTTTTTATGAAAATTTAGAATTTATTTTTAACCAGAATTTTTCAAAACTGACTCGAGTGATGACTAATCGTCTGTACTTCTTTGTTATGTAAGGCGTGGTAGGAAGTAATCGATAGTAGATCTCTATCTATGATGCGATATGTTATGATCAGATGATTTTTTGTCTTAGGTGTTATTTTCATAGGAGCGAACAAGTGTATACGTATGTATATAAACCAATACGTTCATTATAAGCTAGTATTTTAGAACAAAACTAAACTGAACTAAAAACATTATTTTGATTAAAAAAATATGTAGCTTTCGGTACAAAACCTATATCAGATTTGAAACCCCAGACCCGAATTAGTTAAGATCGAAAACTTACATATTATATTATTATGCAATAAAAAACTTGTTCCCCAGTGTAAACCTCGTCTTTTTCATACGAGTCATTATAACAACTTCTCAACCCGAATAACCTTCAAATAACCTACTACTTTGAATGAGTTTTTATGTAGTTAGTGGTAGTTATAGGAGATATTCAAATTGAGCTCTAGAAATTTGCTAACTCCCGTTTTAATACTCATTTTAGATGCATTTGCCATTTGCTTTAAATAAATAGGCTGAAAATCTAAACGTATGCATGACGCGCCATGTGTTACCTGCCATGCATATTTCACGAGTTAGGCCTTTTTCTTGGTGTTGTGACTTTCATGGTCATTACTGTATAATAACTGAGCTGTACTCCGATTATACAAAAAGACTGTTTTATTGACAATTGGCTGTATTGGAAGGATACTTTTTACATTTACTGAGGAGAAAACTAATTTATTTAATAAAATTGAATTATGTGTTTCTGTTAGAAAGTAAATAAACAAATCAATACTAATATTCCAGCTAAAATTATTTATGGGATTTCAAATGTTCCCAAATTACAACTGCTATAAAAATTGAAAAACTTCAATCGTAATTAATATTTTTGATTATAAAAATTCCTGAAAATTTGTTAACGAATTTTTTAAAAAATTTGCAGTTTTACAACTAAACTTGCAATGTATTGAAAATTTTAAAAAAAGGAAATATTTAAAAAAATAATAACCCGATTTAGGAAATAAGTATCTAATTAATAAATGTGTTAGTAATTAACTCAAATTTTATTATTCAGGAAAATTTAATCAGAATGATTTCGTAGAAAAATTAAATTGTGGTAACAAATATGTTTCTAGCTTCTATCATGCAATTTTGCTTATCACAAACTTATATTAGTATTTTAAAAGTTGTTTTTCAGGCAATGTACAAAAAGTTATAAAACATTTACAAGCGTAGTTTATTATTTTTGCAATAATAAATAAAATGCTTGACCAATTATGATGAGAAATAAAATTTCTATACACGACTACAGATTTCTATTCAAAACTTTTTCATGTGCAACTATGTACATATAAGAATAGATTTCCATGAATATTTATTTCTTAATTTTATTATTTTCTTCAATGTTTGTTCTGGGTTTTATTGATTGGTAGTCTTGATGAAGAATCTTTTATATTTTCAAAATTCTATTTTTTATGCGACCGACTTTAAGAATGCAGAATTTTTAATGCACCTATCAGACATGTTTTTTTAGCAGACGAGATATGTAAAAAAATTACATATCAAATAAAAATTACATATCAAAACAGATTACATATCAAAAATATAGTTTTAAATATTTATAACCGAAATTAAAGAATCATGAAAATATATATTTTACCAGTTTTAAAAAGTTTGCTGAAATATGCGTACCCGTCCACTGTGATATTAATATTTATTTTAACAAAAGAATGAAGAAATATTATTATCCATTTTTTATTTGGTTAAGATGCACGTGTTTTTATCATTCCCTCACTTCTCCTCACTATTAAATTGAAATAACAAAAAATGTTTTATAGATCTTATACAATAAATTTATAGATTTGTATTTTTTGTCCTACATTATTGAAATCTTGAATTTTGAAAAGTCATTTTGAATTTAATGCCTGATAAAATTCTTATAACAGCATTATTTTAAAGTCAGTTTTCAGGTGCTTTTTAATTACTCTTACCAACCCTACGATATATTAATCATACTAAGTCATAACAGAATTAAATCCCTCAATAAAAATTGCAGTTATTTACAACTTGCAACTAAGAATTACATTGCGTCATGTTTTCAATTCATTTAAACTTTGCCTGTGGAAAAAAAATTGAATATATTAAACCAGGTAACATTTTTTTTAAACGTTTTTCATTCAATTATGTATTTTTTTTAAGTAAAATTAAACAGTTAATGACTATAAATTTTTTTCTTACTTGTATGTGGTTGATTTCTAAACCTATCAAGCTTATTAAACCGAACTAGAATTCTTAAATTCTTATAAATTTATCAACCATTTGCTAATTCGCAAAATAAAAAAGTAATTTGAAAGGTTAGGGAATGATTCTTTAGCATTAACTTTTAAAATGATAAGATTCTTTTTCTTAAAATATATTTCTGTTTATTTCTTGTCTTAATGTAATAAGAAATTAAGAGTTTTCGAACACCAAGAAATACAGTATTTGATAATTATTACATTTGGCAATTTGATACATTTGGGCATATTTTGATTGCTCATTTAAATTAATGTGATTTGAAACGGATTTTTCACTTCAGGGCATATATATATTCCAGCTAAATATAGTCAAATGAAAATGTTCTTACCCTTAATGTTTTAACTCCTTACTTCTTCATAAATTTGTCACCATTTTTGAAACTTTGCTTTAGTTTATTGTTATTTGACAGTGCTTATAAAATACAAAACAAAATAATTTATCTTTATTTACAAAAAAACCAAACAGTTCACCAAAATCAATGAATAAAACAGTTTTGTTTTAAAAAATATCTGTGTGCTGATTTTTTTGCCATATTTGTTACATAAAGAAAAAACATTTTTCTTACAACATGAATTTTCATTCTTTTTATTTAAATTTATTTTGTTTCTCAACAAATAATGTTTAATTCAGTTAGTCGAAATGCTTTCGATCAGGTATATTTAAAGAAAATAAAAATTCATCTTCTTCTAGCAGCTAGAAAAGTTTTTCGGGTTTTCTCATTTTTAAATACGTTTAATTATATGTTGCCAGTCCGTAAAGAGAATCAAGATAAAAATCGAAGCAATAATGTTATATGTTACCGGTAAAGTGTGAAACGCCGACAATCTATAGAATGCCTATGCATTGTATATAATGACGGAAGTTTTCAGACAAAGTATAAAATATGAGAATTATTATTTATTTTCTGTAGGCATTGTGTACAATTCCTAAGTATTCTACAGGATGACAAATGCTTTTTTTGCTAAGTTTGAAGAAAAGGTCCTTATTATATAAAGATTATTATATAAATGGCAAGCATTCCTCAAAATTACAAATGTTAATCAGCAGAAAAATATTGAGAGACCATAAAAAAATTTATTCAGTATACGTAAAGAAAAATGTAAGTTCTGCAAACCAAAATGTAAGCCTTTTTTATTAAGAAGAGAAAATTCTTATAGAAAAATAAGATTCATATAAAATAATAAGATTCATATGAAAAAAAATAAGAAGTTAAAGTTAACCTACTTGGTGCAACATGACAGGTTTGAATGACATTTCGAATTACATTTCATAACATTTCAAAAGAATCGAAAATGTATTTCATACATTGCCGGTCTCTCATTTGGCATTTCATAGAATGCATAGGAAATGTGTAAAATATGAATCGTTTCCTTCATTAACGGGTAGTTTTAGGCATTATATACAATGCCTAGGTAATCTATAAAATTCCGTATTTTACACTTTACAGGTAACATATTAACATATTTATTTAAATTATTTTTTCAACTGTATGGTTAGTTTTAACCGTCTTTATTATTTTATTTAGCACAGCTAATTAAAATTAATTTATTTAAAAGTTTATTAAAATTTTCTTAACCACAATAACAATCACACATGTAATAGTCACAATTCTCTTATATTTTTTATACAATTATTTATAAAACTGTTCACCAATCTTAAAGATTTCGTGAATAACTTTTCAATTTAACAATAACAATTGCTCAAATAATATTCATATTTCTTTTGATTATAAATTAATTATAAATTATTAATTCATTAATTAATTATAAAACTGTTCAGAAATCTTTCGTGAACTATTTTACTAGTAATTCCATCGTCTCCTTTTCAGAGCAAATATATAAATATTTTTCATACTATAAGGCTAGGTTTACCCGTCTTTAGTACGTTATTTTCTTCAATAGTCTTCTGTAAAAGTCTTTCGTTATTATTACTAAAGATATGCTTTCTGATATCTTCAGTGGTGTTTGGTACTCAATTACAGAGTTTGGTTTAGTTGCCGGGTCATTTAAATTTTGTTTACATTTTCTCCAATATCCCATGAATTTTTGTTGTGTTGTTATATGTTTATTATATATATCACTAAATTCATCATAAATCAATATCATATGCTAACATTTACATTACTATATCAAATATAACCTTTTTGTAACATATCACTGTATTTTTTGATGAATGGACCAATCTCCTTTTTACAAAACTCAACTGCAGAATAGCTAATGTTATCGCCACCGTATTCAGGAGGTAAAATTTCTTTAGGTATATACTGATGTAATTGTTTCATATCACTCCCATGGAAGTGGATCTATAAATAAGACTGCCATTAATACAGTTTATCTTATATTAAAATATGTTATTGCTTTCAAATTATTTAAAAGTAGAAGTAAAATAAAAAAATTAAATATCACAAATCTAAAGGAATAAAAGATTGAATACAACTACTTAAACAAAAAAGAAGTTTTGAATCAAAAATTTCAATGTTTCGTTTAAAATTTGAATATCATCCCCTTGCCCAATGTATAAATTACAATCTATGCCAGCTTTCCTTCTTTCGGAAGGCTAGCATAGAAAAATAATTGGTATTAAGAATGGCTTTCTTTAATGAATATTAAATTAAGCTGAAACAATTAAGTACATTTAAAGATATGTTTATTTTTTGACGGAACTTAAACACATCATCGAACAATTACCATGCATCTATATCAACTATATATTGATGTATCTAAGCAACTATGTATTTATGCATTTAGAATAGCTATATATTTATGCATCTATATTATCTACAGTATTCAGATGTCAAAAATCATTAAAAATAAAATTTATTTTTTCAAAAATAAAATAAGAAATTAAAAGATTTGCTTTAAATTCAAGTATTAAAAATTATGAAATTCTTTAATAAAACAAAAATAGAATGCCCAAAACTTAATAAAAATGTGTCTAAGATAGCGAAAAAGAAAAGCAACAGACAATCAAATTTTTCTTTTCTTTTTGGAAAATCGGGAATCTTTTTGAAGTTTAGAATGGATAAAACCGATTTATCAATGTTCTTCCACAATAATGTTTTTATAGAGTTTTTCCACTAGGAAAGACATTGAGCATTGCTATTTTGTGGAGTTAGGAAGTGTAAGCATTGAATAAGAAAGTTTTCAGTTCGTATTGTATTTTTAAAAAGACCATTTCTACTGCCACAAACTGCTCAATGTGGAAATAAAAGGGAAAGAGGCTGAAATAGCGATTGAAAGAGAGATTGAATGATTGAAAAACATATTCACATTAAACTTACAAAATAGTTTTCATCTTCTAGACTAGAGATAAGTAAGTATCAATTCATTTTGGTGTCAGTTACAAACTAATACTGATACAACTTAAGATTTACGAGAACCCGAATCTTTAAGTGTCAGATACGCATTTATCTTATATCAAAAATACACAAACTTAATACTTCTAAATGGTTCCATTAGAAGTTATAATTTAATTCATTCGCAATTGATAAACGATACAAGAGTTTTTGGCACTGTGATTTATATGTAAAATTGTAAAGATATTTTTCATTTGCTTTTTTACAAATAATATTTTAACTAAACATAATATTTTAAAATTTAATTGATACTAAATATACTGGTTAATTTCATTTGAAGTTCTTAATACTTCAAAGAAATAAGAACAGAATATCAGATACTACAAACCCATCTCTATTCTACAGTGTTAATCTAACTAACTTGGGTTGGATCTTATACTATTCAGCATAAAAAATGCATTGGAAACAACTCCTCACTTGGTTGTATCATAAAGCTTAAACTTCTCCCTTTATGACTCTCTAAGTAAACTCAAGATGGGAAAGAATTTTAACTCGGGACAGGAGGCAATCTTCAGGCATCTGTCCAAACTGAGATATTTAAAACATTGTAATATTTTTATTTTATTTCCAATGGCAGATTATAGACAGTAACAGCATACATAAAAATCTAAAAATAAGAACAGAAACAAGAGATGCTGCAACAGAGTCTATTAATCACAACATGTTTCTAGTTTCCCAATAGCGTTCAGTGATAGAATTCCTGCAAAGTGCAGAGCAGCGGAGAAGGTGCGTGGAGTCCATGTCCTTACCAGAACTGCAAAGAGTGCATACCGGGGAAGGAACGATACCAAATCTAGACAGATGTTTCCGCAGACAGTCATGACCGGTGGCCAAGCGGAATTCAGCCACCGCTCTTCGTCTTGGGCCAAATTCCGCTTGGCCACCGGTCATGACATAAGCACATTGTAATATGCTTATATGTATCTGACAAAAGTTACTTATAAAATATAGAAGTAATAGTTAACACCAGGTTTATGGACGTTTCTTATATACCTATCTCTACGGACACACGTCAATTTGACGTATGAAAGAATTGTGATTCTTAATTTAATAAATTCAATTTAGTAGATTTTTATCCATCGCTATTTCTAAACAATTCGTATATAATTCACCACTTCATATTTCAAAATTTACTTTGTTGTTATTTACCATTTTTTTAATTATTTTCGCGTGTCCGGAGCAGTTGGCATCTCTTCACTTAGAAACCAATGTATATGTATACTATAAGAAAAAAAATGAAGATATGAGATATATATTTATGAAATATTCTAGTATTTTATGTTTCAATACTCGAACTAAGCAACTGAAACCTTCAAAATCTGACACTCTGACATCAATTGACATTCTGCGTTTGTTCTTTCTATTATTGCTTATCGGCAACAGTTTCTTATCACTTGTTTTATTTGAGATAACGAATCGAAGTATTGTCGGTACATTCCTATTTATTATTGATGTGATAATTGCTTGTTTACTTAAATTTTTGTCTAAATTATGATCGCGTCAAATTGACGCATATCCGTAGAAATAGGTATACGCTTTTGAGGTAAATAGCATTTGATAAATATTTACTTCGATCAATGGTTAAAAGTCATTACAAGAGATAAAATAAAAATTCAAACGGGTTATATAATTTTCCTTACAAAAGTCGAAATCCGTCAAAATGACGTGTCCCGTAAACCTAGTGTTAACAAAAAATCGCAAGTTGTTTCAGTGACTTATTGAAACTTTAGATATTTTTTGCTGGTATGCCAGTTTTGAAGGGATTTTTCACTGCTTCCATTTGCATCAAATCGAAAGAAAGAGAAACTTCCGTAATAGTAAACACAACGCCTTTCACAAAATCGGAGCATATTTTGGAAGATAATGTATTCCATAAATAGATAATGTATTCCATTTGGAATATGGAATGCAATATGGAGAATGAATTCCATATTCCCTTTGGAATATGGAATACATTATCTATCGTATACACTATCTATACCATACCATTATCTATACTATACGATCTACCACATACACCATATTCACTATCTACCATATACATTATCTATCTAAAATACATATCTACCATATATACTAGCATATACATATCTATATAATATCATACCTGCCAACTTTTACGCATTTGGCGTAAAATTTTATTTCTATATTTAAAGTGGTAGTAAAATATATGTTTTCTTTATATTCTTTGTATTTATAAGCTTAATGTATAATCTTTTTGACCACCACTATTTTTAAGAAAATAAAACAGATATATAAATATGCAATACTTTTTTGGTATGCCGCGTAAGTGTTTTTTAATTAAAGCTTATGTCTCTGCCTGAAATTGTAATTAAAACTCCAATTTATTACCACTGGGGAAAATCATCTTCGAAAGAATTAAAAGTTGGCAGGTATGCAATGATCACATTTGTGGTTTTTTATTATTAGTTAACAACAATCAACTATGGAAAGTAGTTACGAAAGTATGATGGCTGCTTCTTTCTTGCCTTTTCGGATGGGTTACTTGACAGATTGGATGGCGAAAAAAGCAGAGGAAGAACTAAATGAAACTGAAGAGAATCGTACACAAGCTCTCGCAGAACTCAGGAAATTGATTGCAAGTATGGTGTTAAAGAATTTTATTTTAATCAAAACGTATCTTAAATTATCTTCTCTTAAGTAGTTCTCACACTGCCGTTTATGGATGATTTTAAATTTGCATTACATGCAAGCTTACAGGAATTATTTTTTCCACGAAACTTTTTTTGCACATACGAAGCATTCACTAGTTAATATTTTATTCATATTTTCAAGATTGATTTTGAGGTAATAACTAATTTTGGGCGGGGGGATGCATTCAATAAAAATCCGAACCGAAAAGTGTAGAGCATTATGCTGCTTGCATATAACTAGGGAACTGCGGAAACAAGTTTGAAAGGGAGGAAGAGTATAGTTCGTTCACCAGGAGTTGGCACTTGGCTCCACCTCCTTGGACGCAGAGTTCATTTCAGCGCGGGAGCAAGAAGAGAAACATTTCCGCACTTAAAATTGATACAACCCTCAGTGAGCGCCAAACACAAACAGTGACTTCGTTTTCAGTCACTTACTTCTACTATTGAGTATTGAGTACAAATGAGAGTCATCTACTATTATACCTTTCGTTTCTCTAGCTAATTAAATATATTTTAAATTTAAAAAATGCTGTTTTCCCAGCAAAATGTGTCAAAAAAGACAAACTATTCTCTCAAAAGAGAGAAATATCATAAAAAATGGCGCGATATATCATCAAATTTATGAAATATTTAATGTTGAAAAATGCACATTAAGTTTGCGAAATAAATATTTTTGCCATACGATCGCCAAATAGCAACCTTCTTCAGGATTGCTCACAACCTTCTCCCAAAAATAGCGAACTAGTATCGTCGCATACCACGTGATGAAGGCGGAGCCAAGTGCCAACTCCTGGTGAACGAGCTATATACAGGGTCTTTATAATTAAAGTTCCACTTTGAAATGGCTATAAAAATAAAACTACCCGACCAAATGTCATCAAACTTGGTAAATGTCAATAAGAGGTCATGGGATTTTAGTTCTCGCAAAAAAAAAAAATTCAAAAATTCACCACCAGTGGAGAATGGCGCTGTATGCAATAGTGTTAAACAAATGTGAAATATGCAAATTTGTTTTATACGTCTTTTACCCTAAATTTGCCTTAAACCTTGAGGTGTCATTGGACCTCGGCGTTTTCCTCTTACAGTATGGAACTTTTGTAAAGCCCTCCGTTCATTGCTGTCGCATTCATAGTAACATTTCAAGAGCAAAGCACAGTCTTGCATGGTAACAGACATTGTCGACTCAGAACACTGACAGCTCAGACAAGGCGCCTCACTTTTATAACTGCAAAGTCACATGACGTTCACATTTGTTTAACACTGCATACAGCGCCATTCTCCGCTAGTGGTGAA